TCAGACCATGGTCTTGCACCCAAGACTGGCATCTAGTGGCAAATGCAAGTGCCCTCTCCTTGTCTGGCAGAGCAGCTGAACCACTAACCCAGCAGATAAAAGTACAGTGCGTGTCCAGCACTTCTGCACAGAGTGGCAGCGGGTGGGACTGAATGTCTTGGGGAAAAAAACATTTTACCCCCTTCTTCCCACAAATATTTCATCCTTCACTATACACAGGTGCTGCTAAATGAATAAACCTACTGAAAACCAGAGATAAGCAATATTCATCTATTATTTTCAGTGAAAAAATGGTGAACATACTTAAACAAAGGAAGGGATGTTTAATTTTAACCTGTCACTGTATACTGCAAAACCCAGTTTAAAATATATATTTTTGGACAGCACAGCCAAGTTCTATTCTTGGTATAGACTAAAAAGACTAGTAGCTGATTATTTTACTATAAGATCTTTAATGCTTCATTATTAAGTAATCTGATTTATTCCACAAAAGGGAAAATACATTTTCTTCTGGAAATTTGCAATGAATTTCAGGGCAGAGTCACTTCCAACAAAACTGATTTAGCAATACCCACATGTGATGGCATGAACTCTATTAAAGGCAAGGAAATTGCCTTTCAAACTCTTGGCGAGAATTTCATTAAGGATACTCTGAAAGCTTCAGAGCACTGAGTGTACTTAGTTGACAGCTGAAGAAAACACTCAGTAATCAACAGCTGAATCTCAAAAAGAAAAATTCTCAGATCTTCAAGTTAAAATATGAAGTTCAGTCTTTCTGGGGATTAATTACATGGTCACTCACTAAGTGTAGTGTTCATCACAGGTAACTTAAGTCACTGAAAGATTATCAAATTAATGCACATCCATTGAAATATCTTTCTCTTTTAATCTTGTATTTAAACAGTAAATAAACAGCACAGGAAGTTCACTTAAGGATTTTCAGCCAAGGAAACCCCAAGTTTTGATAATAAAGATGGGGGCAGGGCTGAGGGGGTGTTGGGTTTTTTTGTTCTGTTTTTAACTTTAGTGGTTGCAGCTCAAAGATAAAATGCATATAATTTAAAACTTGAACTAACAAAAAGGGTGACAATAATTTTTATATCTTTTCCTTCACATGCCATTAGACTTTAAGAAAGGTCAAACTTTATATCTTCCAAAGGGAAAATAATTTTGACCATTTCTAAAATGATGATAAGTCCCATAGAGTAAAACCCACTTTCCATGAGGGCAGACATTTAGTTCATGTATATACGTATAAAGCAATTTTAACATTATATAAATACTCATTTATCTGTCTATACACCTACCTAATTTTGTTACAAGCAGGTTTATGAGTTTTGAAAGGAACCACCACATAGGAAAGGAGATCTGTAGGAAAGCATTGTGGACAGCCTGTGGTCATGAAAGTATGCTCCACAAATATGGCATTTCAGAAACATCTGAAAAAACCTCCACTACATCACAGCACAAAAACTTCTCCTGCCCTCAAGCTCTTCATATTACAAAATGAATAAGCTTTTCTAGGCAAGCCTTGTGAAGTTCTCAGTAGGCTGTGCTCCTACTTGTGGACTTTCAGAAAACAAAAACACTGTCTGGAAAAAGTAGACTTGGGATATATTTGTAACTACCAAATTTTAAGTTCGGGCCAACTGAAATATTTTTATGGATGATAAATACTTTTTTTTTCTTAAAAAACCACTAACATGCCTTTTGTCACATTATGCAATACAGATCTTTTTAAACTATCACTTATTAAAAAAATAAAAAGTCCATTGATTTTTTTCTTGTGCTCAGAGACAGAAAGAGCACAAAGCAATAAGACAATTAGGCAAAATGATGGATTCGAACACATGTTGCATTTTCCTGTTAACATCTACACGTAACTTCCACTAATGTCAGGATGAGTTATGAGTGCACTGCTAAAATAATATGACCATAACAAAAATATTTCCTCCAGAACTAATATAGTAATATTTCTAATAGACATTTGGAAAAAAAACCCACACGTATATTCAGAAAGTAACATGCAAATGCAACTCCTCCAAATGTACTACTTTCTATTTAAAATAAATGTCATTTTTTCACAAATTGGCATCGAGTTAAGAAGAAGCTGATGTTATCAAACTACCTTTCTTTTAAAAGGTACTTTGCTAGTTTCCAGTTCAAAAAGATCAAGCAAATATGAACAAGATTAAGCTGCTATCCATTTTTATTCTAAACTTACTTAAATAACGGAATGCATATGGGAACATGTAATGACAATTGAAGAAGTTATCTAAAACTGGGGCCAGTAAATTAAGATGGATCATGACAATGTCAGCCAGATGGGCCTAGAATGCAGAGTTATGGTTGGAACTTGAACTTAATACAAGCATAGGAAATCATCATGAACGTTCTTAAACACTCAGTTCATGCCTATTTAACTGGAAGCTAGCAGCCAAAAACTGTAATCACTCAATACTGCTTTTTTAAAAAATGATAAATAGAAATTATGGTCAATGCTTCCAATTAATAAATTATCTTAAAATGTCAGAGATAAGACACTCTTTTAGTATATTATTAGAACACAGAATTATCATTATTCTGTCTTTGGATGTCTGGGTCTTAGTTAGCTTCTACGATCTAGTTTTGAGAAGACCTTGGTCCCTTTTTAAAAAAGCAATATTGAGTGTATACATAATGCAGCAGTTTCATGAAGTTTGTTTGTCCTTCACTTATTTCAGTGAGCACTTTGAAAAATTAAACTACTGTAAAGTAATATCTGAATTATTTCTAAAAGATGTTTACTAATAGAATCAGAGAACAGTTTGGGTTGGAAGAGACCTTAAAGACGATCTTTTTCCAAGCCCCCTGCCACGGGCAGGGACACCTTCCACTATCCTAGATTGCTCCAAGCCCCATCCAACCTTGCCTTGGACACTTCCAGGAGTGGGGTAGCCACAGCTTCTTTGGGCAACCTGTGCCAGGGCCTCACCACCCTCAGGGAAGAATTTCTTCCTAATATCCAACTTAAATCTACTCTCTTTCATTCTAAAGCCATTTCCCTCTGTCCTATCACTCCATGCCCTTGTAAAAAGTTCCTCTCCAGCTCTCTTGTACCATCTTCAGGCCCTGGAAGGTGCTCTAAGTTCCCCTGGAGCCTTCTCCTCTCCAGGGTGAACAACTCCAGCTCTCCCAGCCTGTGTCCATAGCAGAGGTGCTCCAGCCCTTCTTTTGACACAGCCCAGGATACAACTGGCTTTCTGGGCTGCAAATGCACATTGTTGGGTCATGCTGAGCTTCTCATCAACCACTGTATCTATTAATTTACGCACCTAAAAAATTATGCATCTAATGGATACATGTGTATCTATCATTTTATGTTGTTTAGCATATCTTATTAAATAATCTGATAATAGTATTTACATTTAATTTATACTTAAGAGCAGTCATGTAGCCCTTTCTATACACAGAGCTCAGAAAAACAAGTCTGTGCTTTTTGATAGAGTACTCATGTTGTTAAAGAGGCAGTAAAAAGAAAAGCAAATATGATCACATAAATTTCTGTAATTAATCTATTTGTTCTCTCTGTTTATTAATATTGTGATTTTATATAGGGTTTTTTAGTTCATTAACTCTATTTTCTATCTCCTAGACCAGCAAAACCATCCTGACATCTCATAGCCATATTCTGTTCTTTCCATCTCACAACATGAAATAGAAGTTCTGTCTGATTCCATCTCCAACAGTTCTGTGCACTTAATTGAAAAAGTCACATTATCAGAACTAAAGATTTTTTCCTCTATGTTGCTCAATATTTATGAATTATGATTTCAAAACATAAATTTTATGACTAGGACAAAAAACAAACATGGACTTGAGGAAACAGACCAAAGCACTATACAGAATATAGATGACTGGCACTGAGCACCTGAGTTATGACAGGAGAATGAATATGTACATATAATAGAACATCAGAAAACTAAAATAATGTATCTATTACAGAAAATAATATCACATACTGCTCTAATTCACATGTGATTCCATTTTTCTGTGTAGCTATAGACCTCATTAAAGTCAGAACCAGAAATTCTTTAGATAACACTGGAAACATTTGTGCTTCCACTGCAGTATTTCTGCACCTGTATTACATGACAGCTATTCTCAAAAATTTCTATAAAACTCTAGTAAGCATATGACTCCATTTCCACTTTGTTTTATTTACAGTAATGTTATGAAAACCATTATTTCTGATTATTTCCCTTCCTTTAAAATGCAAAGATAACTATAACAATCTAGCTGCAGTTATGTTATGGCTTCCTCCCTCAAGAAAATGGTTTCAAAATGGCAACTGTGAATTTTCTTTGCTAAATGTTAACTACACACTTACCAGCCCAGCCAAGTCATTACCAGGTTCACTCTTTTTGCCAATTTTAAAGATATCAGAGCTTTAATGTCCCATAATTATAGATATTTACCTTTATTGTGCAGAGCAAGTTAGATTTAAACTATATGTGTATCTTCCTTTTTCGTTCTGTACACATATAAATAGTGATTAAGTGTATGCAAAGAGATTTTTGTTCATTTGGGGGAAGGTTTAACCAATTATTCAATGCAATAAACTTTGCACCATCAATATAAAGTTAATAAGCCCCTTTCCTCTAATTTGACACTAGCAGAAGTTCTAGCATAGAATTCCCACTGAGAGATGGGGCTTTAGATCCTTGATTTCTCACAGAATTTACACACTGCTGGTATTTTTATTTGCATGTAGCAAATGACAACTTTCAAAAATTCATCTCATGTAAATTGTTGAGTACTTCTAAAAAAAAGCCTTTTGCATTTCCATGCATTAAAAGGAATTTAACAGTCTTAGATTCCTAGTCCTATATTGAGACTTAAATATATGCAGAGAAGAAAAAAAAAACCACACACGCACACACAAAAACACACAACCTTCTCTTACAGCGAAAGCAGTAATTTCATTTTTTTCTGGAAATTAGAGAAATCAATGTACTTACTTCATTTCTAGAATTTCTTCAAGCTGTTTCCTTCGCTCTATTCTCAGGTTGGCCAGATGTGCTTCTTTTTCAGCCAAAGACTGCTGTGTTGAGGCAAGACGGGCTTTGGTAGAATCTAACTCTTGTCTAGTCTTTTCCAGTGCATTCATCAGCTCTTCTACCTGAGAGAGAGCACTTTTTAAGTTCCATATTCTTTACAAGAAGTAAATCTGAAATCTACATAAATACAGGGGAAAAAACACACTGAAGGAATTATTTTATGTAAATGGCTGTTCAAATCTCTTCCTATCTTAAGTGTTTTAAATTAAAAGAAACAAGAGTGGTCTTTCAATACCAAAAAAAATTTAATGTTTCCATTCATCTATTGATTAATAAACAATATTTATGAAGAGAAGAACTAACACAGATTACCAGAAACCTATTTAACCTGGGTCACTGCCACATAAAGACACAATTTATAAATATTTCCTGCAACATTTGTATTATTTAAATTCAGGGTAGTGGTATCTCAGCATAACATCGATGTCAGAAATTTTAGATAATGATACAGATACATATTTACTATAAAAGTGTCCAGGACAATCCATGTATTTTCCATCAAAAAATGCACACTCTTCTATGCAGAACAGGTTGCCCAAGGAAGCTGTAAACTCTCTAGTCCTTGGGTATTTTCAGATCTTGATTGAATGAAGCCTGGAGAATCTGACTGAACTTTGAAGTTAGTCTTGCTCTGAGTAGAGGTTTAGGCTGCATTGCCTCTAGTGGTCCCTTCTGACTTAAGTATTCTAAGATTCTGAACTTTAAAGGTCTGTTACTGCTCTAATAACAAAGTTATTTTCCTCATGACAACTGTGAGAATCTCCAAAGCATGAAATGCAGGAAAAGTTAAGGTGATCCCACTCTTTCCTTAGCATGGGTAAATGTTAACTGGATGCAGGATAAATTGCTTATTGCAGGAATTCAAAAAAATTTTGTCTTTGGAGAAAACAAAATTCAGAATTAAAAAAAAAAAAAAGGTGTATGACATGATCTATCACATTATTAAAGAACACACTAAAGAATAGAGACTATACAATGACACCTGTACACCTGTCTGGCAGCAGAACCTTTGCCTGTGGGGTAAGCTTATTCGCAGGACCAGAGAGCTACAAATAACCTGCCAGTTAGGATTAGGAGGCCAGTAGGATTTCCCCCTCTTCAAATGATACAGTTTACATTAAGAGCTGCAAGTAAACAACACAATTTTCTTTAATGAGATAGAATGATTTAAATAATTAATGTCCTATTTCCTGTATTTTCTTTGTCACCTCCTTTGTCCAAAAATTAATGTTTCATAAACTAGAAAACACTTCAGAAAGAACTTCTAAATAAAATAAAATGGCAAAGAGGATATATTCTATTCATCCACATTATGTAAGGCATTGAAAAGGGTTCAATTTTGCTGTGTATTGAAGAGTCTGACAAAATTCCACTGCACTCATGTAATCAGTGTGGCTACTTCTCCCAAGTTCAAGCTTAATTGTTGTTATCTAAAGCCTACTAGCATGCTATCTGTGTTTATAAGCCACATGTTTTTGTTTCAGTTTGAATAATCATTGCCTCCTATACAACAGGTTTAATCAAGCCAAATAAATAACACAGTTGTCATTGAATTATAATGAGGATTCACAACCTGTTTGCAAATGATACACTGATTACTTCCTTCTACACCATCTTTACAAGCACTAATAAGATCAATGGAATACTAGAACACATCTGATACCCTGGGGTGCATAAGAATTTGTATTTCATGAATGCAGAATCAGAATCACCAATAGCATTGAAACTATTTATGTTCAACCTTCCACTCAGAAATTAGAACTAGTATAAGGGTGGTATAAATGAAATAACAAGGAGTGTAATATCATGCAGTAGAGTCTCTGCAGCTGTAAGATTCCACTAAAGTAAACCATGAAGAAAGATATCCTTCTAAAATGACTAGCTAGTGAACTTTCACAGTAGAAGCAGCAAAGAGAAAATATACTTGAGGGAAATAAAGGAAAAAAAAAAAAAAAGCTTGATTTGCACTTAAATCCCAGGGGAAAAAAATTAACAAACCAGGAGAGAGACAGATCATATTTCTTTAAAAATGATTCAGTTTCTAATATAACACCAGGTGCTTCATATCTTCTGCTTTAGTACAAGAACATAAACCCATGGCTGCCTCAACTACTATAATATAATATGATATTTCTATCTGTTTTCTGGGGCTATTTCTTAGGCTTGTCCTTGTATCTTTTAAAAACTGTAGCTAATTTCCACTGAGCCTCCAGTCTATTAGTTAATTCCAGGCAGCATACATTAATGGAAACAGTAGTAAGGATTCAAGACTGCAAAGTCATTCATTCATACAGACTCCAGCTTTGAGACAGTATCTGTAAACACCAAGTCACTCCACACTTGCAGATTTGTTTGGCAGATGAGAATGTAAAAAGACAGAATAGTAGCACTTCCATATCTTTGGTATCACTGCACTCCTTTTCCAGGTTCAGCTGAATTTAGCACCCAAACTGATGATTGACTGAATCCTCACCTAAGTTCTGATATATCACATCATTTACATTTCAAAACATTTAAGAGAATTAAAGACTTGTAGAAAACAAAGCTGTGGATTTGTTAATGTCTATTAATAACACACTCATATTACTAGACAAAAGAGATCAAAGTTTAAAAGAGAGGAGAAAAAAAACTTTGAAAACTTAAATATGAAAACTTTTTCAAACCACAAATCGTTAACACGTGTAGACGTGAAAGTTATACTTCCATTTACACTTTCAACACAGCATTTGCCAGCTAGTTCTTCTTTCATTTTTTGGAATATGACCCAAGTTCATAGTTGCACGTTTTCCTAATTAACTGTCCCACCAACACCTATAGCAGAATTCAACTGGCAGGCATGTGCACAAAAACTGATTTTATTTTTTTAAATTGGCAACTATCAAGTGTAAATCAGTGAACACTGAAGTTGCACACAGTCATCTCAGCTTGTTAATTATATAGCTGAAGCACATGTGTTACAATGAAAAATTAACTTTAAACGCTGAAGGTAGTATTACCTAGATAAGTCTAGAGGTGAAAAAAAGCATCGTAAAACACGAACCAAATTCATAATGTAAGCAAAGGTTCTCTTCTTTGATAATTGAAAAAATAGCAAAAAAAAAAATAAAGTTCCATGTTGATTTACTACCTCTCAGTCCTACTGTAAGAAATGGGAAAATTTTCCCTTTCTGACCTGCAGCAACTACCTCATTTGCTGCACTCAGGGCACTTCATCTAAGGACTGGTGTGTGTCCAGGGGCCCTTTCCTCTACCAAGCACTGCTGTATGGTCCTGCCTTCCAGTTTCAGTTTTTCCACTCTCCAGATACTGAACTGAGTCCCCTGCTGAAATACCAGTTCATTAATGACCAGGCAACATGTTTACATGCTTTTCTTATATTGTCCACGGGATCGAGATAAAGTTTGCATGACCATGTCCGTTACCCGTAACATCTCATCCTGCTCATCCTCCCAAACTGAAGCCCACAGCACCTAACTCTTAATCACCACACCTGCATCCTTAGGACGTTTATTGGCACAGAAATCCAGAGAAGCCACCAGAGTGGCCGGTTTTGGCCTATTTTTGGGGGGTTTGGTCCATAACCCACCCCAACCCCCACGGTTTTCTTCCCTGCCGAGCAGCTCCGCCTGGTGGGGGGCGGAGGCAGCCCAGGGCAGGTCCCACCTGTCCGGGCTGTTCCCAACTGGAAGCCCAGTCACTTTTTCCAGCTGTATCTCTCAGTCCAACTGCTTCTAATTATGAAGCCCTCAAGTTTTGAATTCAGAAGAACACACATTTTGACAGAGTTTTCTGTGCAAACCTCAGTGAACGCACAGGAGTGCTCTCTGCCCGGAAAGCGTTAACTGGGTTTTCTTACCCTTCGCAAGGCAACAGCCCCAGTTTATCCTTTGCACTTTCTAATAAAAGCCATTATTTATTTCATACTTTCAGAAAGCTTAACTGACCTCAGCACTTTGAGGATTTCATTAAAATCTGCACCAGAATCAAGTTTACATTTCAGAATGGGCAGAAACCCAGCAAACTAAACTATTTTTTAATTATTTCTTAGTTTTGAGTCTATTTTAAATGAGCACTTTTCCATTTGTTCAGCAGCTTCACATTTTCAAGTGCTATCAGCAGCATTTCACACCATGATAAGAAAAGAAGTAAATGTGGCTGAAGTGTACATCTGCGTTACCAGATTCTGCAAATTAAAGGAGGTTAGAGTTCAAATGAATGACAGTTTATTAAAAATGCCCTGGAGCATTCTTAATTCCAGATTGGATCCGGCTCAGCACAACTCAGGCTAACATAATACTGCTCCAGTTTGTGGGAATGAGGAGGGGGAGGGACAATTGCATGTTTTCTCAGTTCAAGTATGATATATTTCTGCAGGATGACGAAGAGCTGGCAACTTTCCAGCAGTCAAGGTTAATATTGTTAGTACTACTATCTTTAGAGGGTTAGTACTTCATTTTAGCAACAATACTGGTGATAAATGTAAGAATTTTGGATTTCCCTAACTGACTTTTTCAAGTATCAGTTGCTATACAAAAACTCCATACCCACACTTTAATCTATAACCTAATTTTGTGTTAGTACACGGAGATCATTTATGAATTCTATATAAGAAAATAAATAATTCCTTCTATTTACTTATTCTTCTATTTAATATTAAAATATTAAGCATTATAGACATTTTTTAGAAGTTTAACAAACTATTACATTAATTCAGTACAGATGGATGCATTTTGATAAGTCAGTCAGTGTAAGAATCCATCTAGTTGTGTTCAAAGGTACTTTATTTTCTTTTCCATTTGCTAAGGAAATGCTTTTTTTTTTTGCTTCTTTTTTTCCCCCTCCAAGTTACACAGTATATAAATTTCTGTTATCTCCAGTTTTGTGAAGATTAACTTAATAAAAATAATATTTGGGTTTACCCCGAAGATTAAGCATGAGATTGCAAAAAACCGAAAGGCTACAATCCTTAAACTTTCCCTTTGTGGCTTTCCTACGAATTTATTCTGTCCCTAAGAGGGCATAGAAAACACATTCACAGAGATGAGGGAAAACAGATAAA